GTATTTCTTACAATTAATCACCTATAACTACAAGCTGAATAGTGCTTTTTTGACTTACTGTTACAGAAGGCTCCACAATAATATCCGTGTACAGTCTCCATGTAAATATACACAAATATACACATAAATTACATACTCTATATTCAAACATTCTCTCTCTGAAACACACATAGATGGTTTTGGAAGTATTTTCTCTAGGATTACATATAGAAGAGTGACAAAAATTGAAAATAATACATAAATGGGTTGATTTAAGGATTTATTATTGCTCCTAGGTTCTCTCCAGAGCTACAGCCTCCTGTTTTCATCTTTCATGCCTTAAGCACAAAATTAATCTTCCTTTCTCAAACCAGCAGTATAATTTTTAAAAAAACTTACTGTTCACTTCACTTTAGCAACAATATGGGTGTACCTTGTGTTACCTCATTTAGCCTGTACAACCTTCTCCTCTTCCGGAATCCCCACGTGGATTTAATGATGGGTTCATACAAATTCTATGCCAGGCAAGTACAACTATCTTCCTCCAGTTTTAAGGTGTGAAACCTCAAATGTGTGCTCCTGGATAGCTTTTACTGTGTGACCTTTACTGACAAAATCAAGTTATTCACATGCACAGCTGCTTTTAGAGCTGATCCCCTTAGGTATTAGGTCAGTACATGAAATATTTAGCTTTTCCTCTACTGGAGAAGATAGATGACATCACTCTTCGTTGCAAAACAAAATTCCATGGTATATCAGACCAACATCGAGGCAATTAAACTCACTGTAGGAACTTTCTGAGTTCTTCAGTAAAACTACATATCTATATGGAAAACCGGGTTATGATTCCACAGTGATTTACAGTATACAGCAGTCAATATCACAATGCTTATCTTCTTGAAGATACAGTTCATTTCTTTAAAAATAAATAAATAAATAAATAAGACCCCTCAGGATAAACATTTATTTCTGACACCTAAAAATATTAACAACAGATGACATGAAATCTTTCATCTTCAGTGCTTCAGACCAACTAAATGTCAACTTGGCAATGCTCTGGCTCTCAGAAATGTGTTCAGAAAATGTTCCATTGCTTTGAAAGAGCCATTTGGCTCAAGGGACAATCACACACAATGGGATTTCTTCCTGGTGTTTGAAGTAGCAGCTACCAGATATTGGCAAAGGCCTTACTCTTGGTGCTGATCTAAAGAAAATACCTGTTTAGCAAGGTATTAGCTGTTCCACATAATCTTTTCTAGCTGGTGAAGATCACCCAACTCCGTTCCTCAGAAAAAACACACAGCATAACACTACAACCTCCGACTACATTGCACAGGCAAAAAACCTTACCAGACTATAAAAGCCATAAATTCAATTAAAGAGTAACTTTAATGAATTTAACACTATTTATGGGAGGTGAGCAGGAACTGTGTCTTCAATCACCTTCTAGCAAAGCCCAGATCTTTCTACTTTGTATTTGTGATACAGAATTTAATTTTAAACTTAAAAGACAATAGACTTTATGAAGGACAACTCATAATTCCAGAATCTGGCTTATTTTCTGCTCAGTTAGTGTTAAAACAAGTCACCATTCACAATAAGTGGGGGAAGGGGAGAAAAGGAGGGAATAAAAAGATACCGCCTAGGAAAAAAAAGAAAGAAAGAAGGACAGACAGAAAAAGACAGACAGAAAGACCAACAGGCACACAGAAAGACAAAGAAGAAATAGTATAATTTCAACATGCTCACCATCTTGAAAGGTGAAGGAGTCAGAAAGCAGCAACCAATTTCAAAATGGTCATGTGTTAAAGCTGCAGACAGCACTCTCTGCCAAGTTTGGCGATTCAGTCCAAGAGAGGCGTACCAGAAAGAGGTTGTTAAAGGCTGAGATGATGACTTTTACCTTTCAGCATTAATTTTGCCTTCCTCACTGTTGTCTTCTTAGAAGACAGACATCACAGTGAAATCACCCATTCACACATGGGAAATATGGGTTTCAGTGTACCCAGTGCAAGAGAGTAATCACAGTATATTTCCAGCTTTGCACTGGACATCAGTTTCTCCCCTTTAAACCCAGAGCAACACAGTTTTCAGAAACATTAACTGTAAGTCATCTGCTTCCATTTTTACAGATTATGAAAAAATTCTGGAGATCCTTTCAGAATGAAGCACACAATGTGTAGTATCCTATAACTATAAAATGATCCGAGGGCTGGAGCACCTCTCCTATGAGGACAGGCTGAGAGAGTTGGGCTTGTTCAGTCTGGAGAAAAGGAGGCTACGGGGAGACCTGATTGCGGCCTTCCAGTACCTAAAGGGGGCCTATAGGAAAGATGGGGAACGTCTTTTTCACAGGGCCAGCTGTGTTAGGACAAGGGGAAATGGTTTTAAACTAGAACAGGGTAGGTTCAGGCTAGAGGTAAGGAAGAAATTTTTTACAATGAGGGTGGTAAAACACTGGAACAGGTTGCCCAGAGAGGTAGTGGAGGCCCCATCCCTGGAAACATTCAAGGCCAGGTTAGATGGGGCTCTGAGCAATCTGATCTAGTTAGCAGTGTCCCTGCTCACTGCAGGGGGGTTGGACTAGATGACCACTAGTGGTCCCTTCCAACCCTAAACATTCTATGATTCTATGATTCTATAACACAGAAATACACTGCAGTTGCTTAAAAATAACACCACTTTTATTTCAAAAGTTACTCCTGTCCAGAAGTAAATATTCAGAATCAAACTTCCCAGGACAACACAAGCAGAAAGAGGTAATAAATCTATCATTTTGTCTAGTGACTCTCTACTAACAACCATTTCTGTCTGTAGTAGGCATGCCTCACACACCTGCACATTTCCCCCTTTGTTTTTAACAGGTCTAAGATCCAATATTCCAAAGGTATATCTAGTATGCAAGGGAAAAGAATAATTCCTAAAAGCTATTTCTTATAGTTAACTCCTAGATTTTTTTTTTTTTATTTCATATTTAGCATATAATTTTCTTAGTACAGTAGGAATAGAGGGAACCATGCATGGCCTGGACTTTCAGCAGTCTGGAGAGTAGTTGAGGACATCTGCATTAGTAATTCTCCCCTTTAACCACCCCAAAATTGTTTTCTCCGGCTCAGCAGTGGGTATTTCCCTTTTTTAAGAGATGAAAACCTGTGAAGGAAGTTGCAAGGTATAAGAACTGATCTGAGAAGACAAATATCCCCCTTAAGAAAGGCAGGTGGTAAAAAGACACTAGAACCACTCTACTCTTCCACCTTTCTTTCTTCAGCAAACTCAATTTCTTCCTGGGCGAGTTACTGTCACTTCACTTTCATTACATCCTTGTGATGTCATAGCAATAACTTTGCATCGTGAAATATTTAAGTGCCAGGGTACCACAAAACCATAAAGACCCAACTGTAGTGCTTAACTAGATGAATTTTATTCACCCCCACATGCATCTTGTGTCAAGCAAATTGAAAGAAATGTTTCCTTCTATTACGTTACTCAGACACAGCTATTTTCCTTTTTTGCTTTGGAACATTGCTTCTTTTTTTGAAGAATTACTCACTCCTAATCAGTTAGTTCTTTTGCTTTATCTAAATCAAGGTTTGTTTTGGTTTTTTTTTATGAAGCATGCCTGCTGTATATTTCATGTTTGGTTTCCACACAGTTATTAATAAGCCTGCAATAGCTGACCCATGTCCTCTGTTGTTTTTTTCCCCCCCCCCATGAAAATCAGTATCTGGTGATTTGGGGTCTGAAATTTACCATAAAGTGCCTGCCATTTCATAGAAAATTTAAAGCAATAATGATTTGGCCAACTGTTGCTTCAAGTGCCAAGGGACTTGCCCAGTCCAGTGGTTTACTGTGACCCAGGCAATTTCCTTGTTCCCAGCTGGGTAAAGCCTAGCATGGTGTACTTTTAGGCCCTGGAGATTTCTGTACTAAAGAATGCAGCTGCTTCAGTTCCCATTCACAGGTCAGCAGTGAGGCTGAGGGCATTTCCCAGACAGGCATGTATGCACAAGCATGCATAACACCCTGCAGAGTCCAATGCAGGTAGAGCAGAGCCTTTACCAGCACCTCCCTAAACACTGGCATAAACAAGAATATGGATGGCCCATACACTGACTTAGTCCCTTTCAACACATGCAGACTAGAGTGACATGTACAGAAAATGGACAAGAGGAGGATTTGGTAAGGGTGGGGCAGACATACCTTAAGGAAAAACAGCACATTGCTGCTGTCATTCAAGCATGCGTATGACCCCACATAACTTTGCAAGAACAGAGAATTGACTCATTTCTTGCTTTGACACAGAATAAATGAATAAATACCAACAGGTTTTCTTCTTCCTCTTTAATTTGGGAATTGCTCCTGTGCAACTCCTGAGAAAACTATACCTCCTGGTGTATGCCACCTTATTAGTTACTCTGCTGCTGTTAAACTTATCTTCTCCTTTTAGATTGCACCCTCATGCCACTTCAAAAATTGGCATTTATTTTCACTGAATAAGTTAGGTTTTAGACCCATGTTTGAAGGAGAAAAATAAAAAGAGTTAAACCTTATCCAAAGGGCTTCTTTTAGAAATACCAAAGCCATAAATACAAGCTCGAAGGGGGCAGAATCTGCTCTTTAATTACTCTTCAGTATTCTAGTACAGTTAAGACTTATTCCAAAAGTTCAGGTCATGACCTCACAACAGGATCACCTGAGCAAGACGTAGCTCTCCCTACTGCTTCCCCCACACTCACATATAGCAGTTTCATGTTTGCACATGCTGAAGACCCTCCCTTCCCTGCTGTTACTTCCAGTTTTTCAAATACAGGATACTTATCTAACAAGAACTGGGGGAAAACTAATATAATATTAAAGAAAACTGATAACATTAAAGAAAAAAATCCAGCAGTGATCAATTAGTTTGACTTACATGCAAATATATTTTTTAAAAAAGAAGTTTTCTTCCAGTGCAACTGCAGAGTGATACAAAACCAAGGAAACAAGCAGCAGGTTCAACAATGCTGTCAGTGTCTACAGGCCTATGAGAAGGTAGATGAGTCCAGAATTCGGAGGTCATGGAAAGGTTGATGCCTCATGAGGATGCCATTGCTGACACCAGCCAACAGCTCCAAGACACTTAGCACAATACAGCATGAAAATATGTAAAGCATGACAAAATGCAACCAGTCTTCAAGCTTCTTTAGACAGCCTTCCTGAAAAAGCTGCTCCAGATGGCCTAAGTCACCCCCACAGTGAGAATACTTCTCCTTACAGCAGCTTTCAGGGACCCAAGCTTTTTCAGCTGGAAGATGCCAGGAAGCAGCTGTTGCCTTTAGCCAGTCAGTGTAGTTTTGGATCCCACAGCACTGCAGCTTCCTCTGTACTGCATCCACAGCCCTGCTGTCAGGACCCTGGGAGTCTGTCCCATTGTACTGATAGACAAGGTAACCCATAGTGCTTTTCAGCTCAGAAGCCATCCGAATAGAGTAGAGCTGTGCCAGAACTGCTGAAGACATTTCTAGGCAAAGAAGGACCAACAGCAAGTACATGAGAGCCCCTTGCTGATAGCGGGAGCCCTTAGCAGCAATAGAGACAGCCAAAAGTCCAGTAGGTAGCAAGATAAGTGCAGCTGCAACAGCCAACCAGCCAGGGAGAGACAAGAAAGACTCCTGAAATAAATATCTGTAGTTCTTGTACATCAGGATGACAAAAATTCCACTGAAGGCCAGAGCTGCAGCAGCACCCCAGAAGAGGAAGCCCAGGAACCTCAGCAGAGATCGAGCAAAGGGCCTGAGCCAGGAGTCCTCACAGCGCCACAGAGATGATGACAACAATAATGATGACAGTGACACCACCACAGCTCTCAGTCTGCTCATTCTGCTCACTTCTAGCAGCAAAACCCCTCACCACCACCATTTAAGAGGCCTCCACCCCACTCACCCAGGTGCAGCAGATGACATCTCCACCCAAAAACAACTTGCAAGGGAGCAACACTGATGAGACTCCAGCACAAAGACTAGGCCTGCATTAGCTAACAACATGCTGCTCCTTCTTCAGCATAGCCTGCAGAAACTGTGAGGGTATGTGCTAAGCTTGCTGTTGACATGTCATTTACTCTGCTGTGCTTGGAGACATTTGCATCTGAAGGAGGACGACAGCTGGAAAAAGGCTGTACCCCTTGCTTTACTACATTTATGTCTTAAAGAGCTAAATGTAGAGAAATAGTCAAGGTGGTAGCCAGTAGTGCTAGTTCAGATCACTTAGACTGCCCAAGTGAAAAAGCTAATCCAACAGCAGTAGCCAAGATGGCAACAAATGCACAAGTCTGAGTGATTAACAAAGGAATAGTTTAAGCAGAGCTATTCAATCAGGGATCTCTATAGGTAACACTCACCTAGACCCATTATCCTCCCCAGTATATTTACCACTCATTAGATTTTATGAGGGGCATAATAGTGTTAATAATATTTTGCCCTTTTTTACTCAGCAAGGTTTCTGTGTAGATAGCTTCAATTACTCAAGACACCTGGATGAGAAGTCCCTACCATTTCACACTTGAACCCCTCAGTTTACATCACCTATGATTTGACTGAGTGCTGCGTTGACTGAATACAAACAATAGTAAGAACTGTATTAACTTTTCCCTGTGTAAAGAGACTGAATTACACGCAAGCTAAATGTCTTCACAACAATCCCAAAGGGAATTGACGCCACTTGTCAGCCAGCAGAAGAACGTTATTACTCAAACATGTGATACAGAAGAGCCAAGCAGGATGCGAAACCTGCATAAAACTTGCCACAGGCACCAGGAGGCAGATTCCAAGGCAAATAGTGATTCCCTAATCATCCTAATGAAGTCCTGTCTCTTCAGTTTCTCAAGATGCAGAGCAGTGCTAATACAACTGGCATACATAAGGGAGAATACAGAGAAATTATCCTCATTTTCAGAAACATGAGCACCTGCAGACCCTGCAGAAAATGTAAGTCAGTGCACAGGCCCCTGGAACTCTGGAAAAGTCTCAGCAAAGCCAATGATCCCACATCAGTCAGATGTTTTACAAGGACCTATTGCTGTTTTATATGTTATGCACACACAGATGTTAGGCTGATCCCCATCAAAATGTCTTTCTATGCGCTGTACAAACATGTCATTAAGGCTAATTATTTTGGAATGAGATAAATTGCTTTTATCATTTTTAATCTTGCCATTAAGAGCAATTAACATGCAGTGATTAACTTGTTAAATCTTAACCAAATGCTTCTTTCAAAGCTGTTCTAGGATGTGTGTTTTCCTGCAAGTGTTCTCTGAAGCCTGAGTCTGCCCTCTCTCCTGTTCAGCTTGCTGCTACTCCCAGCCCTCCAGCTGTGTTGGTTTTTGCTGCCATTCACTTATTCTCTTGAATGCCTTTTCCTCTGATTTCTATGTTCTGCATTT